GTTTCCCTTCTGCACAGCGGAGGCGGCCTGCCCTCCTGCCCCGGGGTCCGAGCGGGTGGAGCGCAGGCAGAGGAGGTCATTTTAAACCCAAGGGCTCTAGAGTCTTAAGCTGGAGCCCCCCGTGAGTGCCAGTGAGGGAGGGGCCTTCTGTGAGAGAGAGTGTGCGTGTGGTTGCCAGGTGCATGGCTGTGTGGAAGCCGACAGGAGGGCGTGGACACCTTCGGGGGTGCAGGCGTGTGGCTGGTGTGCTGGGTGGTGGTGTTGTGGGGGACGGAGAGGAGGGAGTCCCCTGAGCGTGGGTACCAGGAAAGAATGTGCCTGCATGTGCTTTGCTGTGAGCAGAGGTAGATGTTTGTGGCTGAGGGTGTGAAATTCATTCGGAAGCGCAGCGCTAGCTGGACAGGCAAGAGATAAGGATATGAGGATGGTGGCAGAGGCACCCTCCCCCGAATCTCTGCTGGAGGGCCCGCCTGAGGTCTGATCTGCCCCTCCACTCCCAGCCCCTCTGCTGCTAGCTGTGGTCTCTGGCCCCAGCCTGTACTCCAGTTGCTGTAAGGGCATCCGTTTCCCTGCTGGGGCCACTGTGATGATGACGGAGAGAAGCGGTAGGGTTGGAATAGAATCCGGAAGATGGGGCTAGGATAGAGTGTGGGACAGTCAGTGAGTCTGGCGGGCACCCAAGAGACAGAGCTACGGAGAGCTTAGAGTGGGTGAGGGCAGAGAGCTAGGGGGAGAATTTCAGCGAAGGGGAGTCAGGGTTTCCTGTCTGTTGTGTATCCACAGCCCCTTATGGGTGGGGTGAGGTGGAGGGGGGGGGAAGAGGACAGTGTGCCCCTTTGTGGTGACAGAGATGCACACCATCAGGTGTGAAGGTTACCTTTGCCTGAGTGGGCACGTGTTTGGGAGTGGAGGTGTGTGTGGATTGTGTGCTTGTTTCCAAGGCAGGAGAATGGAGAGTGTTTCTATCTGTGAAGTGTGTGTGCGTGTGTTTGTTCCATGTGTTATTCACCTCTGCTTCTGCATGTGTGCCTGTGTGTTTGTGTGGGGGGATGCGTGGTTAAGGTGTCTCCTCCTCCCTTTGCTTGTTTCATGACAGAGTGAGGGCATTCTGTGTGTGCGTGTGCGTGCGTGTGTGTGTATCTGTGTGCAGCATATTCACTGCTCAGGTGTGAAGGGAGCAGGGTTGCCCAGAGGTGGGGGGCTCAACACATGTGGGGAGGATCCCTAAGTAGCCTCTTTCTCCCCTCCCCGCAACACGGGATCTTGTGATCTGCCTGGTCCATCTGACAGCGGGTTTTTTGGGGAGCCGGATGCCTTCCCTATGTTCACCACCAACAACCGAGTGAAGAGGAGACCTTCCCCCTATGAGATGGAGATTACTGATGGTGAGTCTGCCCCACCCCACGGTTGTATCTGCCCCTCACGCTGGTTAGAGCCCTTTGCAGGAGGGAACATCTGAGGCTACTCTGTAGGTGTCACAAAGGTGGGTGGGCCACTTTCGAAACCCAAACTGCCGAAGCCCTTCACTCTGCAGCTGAGCTGGGGCTAGGTAAAGTCCTGCGTGGGGCTAGCAGGACCACACTCACAGTCCCGTGAAGAGGAGACATGGAAGAGAGACACATAATGTGCTTAGCCCAAACCTCTGGAGTTAGTTCCAGTCCCCAATCCAGGCTCCATTCCTACACTTTGGCAAGGATCCCAAGTGAGCGCAGAAACACACAGTGTCCCCAAACCCCCCATTGTAGGCACTGACCCTCAGGGATTCCCTGCACTTCCTCCCAAGTCTTCCTTAGAGTCTGGAGTCTGCTTCCTCCCTGCAATGAAGTCATCAAGGGTTTCCTCCAAGGACCCTACACAGTAGGCTCCCCTTGTCTCCCATTAACACATTCTGGGCTAAGACCTGGAGTTCCCTTCCTGACATCATGGATTCTACCTTGCCCCCTGGATTCCCTGAGAAGGGCCTTGGCACTGCTCCTTTAAGGTACTTGAATGTTCCCTGAACTTGCAGGGATGGTTCGGACAAATGGGAGATTTGGAAGACCTTCACTGTCTTCCCAAGGTTGACCTTGTATAGTAGATTGGTCCCAGCACCAGGGGTAGGAGAGCAGGTACTTCAGAGCTGAGGGACTTTGAGCCAGACCCAGATGCCCCCAGAACTTCAGCTTGGCTGTGGCCTGGGGCTCCTGTAGGAAGGCTGTCCAAGGCCTCAGAGCCAGGCTGAGATTTATGCTGCAAACTGGTGGGAGGGATATGGGTGTGGAGCTGGAGGTGGAGCCCTCTGTGGTGTTCTGGAAAGGAGAGGGGCTGGCGTCTGGACAACAGAAAAGACTTCAAAAGACCCAAGCAGCCTGGGGCACAGGTGTGCAGGGCTGAGAGGCATGGGTGCCTTGCTCTAGATTAGAGAGGAGTTCTCTAGTGTAGGAGAGGTGGGTGTACCAAACAAGAAGTAGACAGGACCAGCCCTGAAGTTCCCCAGGGATGAGGCATTTTCTACAATAGGCAGAGGAGGCAGAGCACAGGGGTGAGGGTTTGTGGGGTGTGCAGGAGTGTAAGGCAGTCCTTACCCATAAGTGTTGGCAATATTTACCAAGCACCTACTCAGTGCTGGCCAGAGAGAGAGGCAGAGGACACCAGGAGAGGTAGACAGATTCAGGAAAGAGGAAGGTGAGGAGACGGGGGCGGGGGGGTTCTCTGGAAAAAACCACAGAGGAATAGGCAGACATGTAGGTGAAGGGTGTGTCTAGGGGACACTGAAATTAGAGACTGAACCCAAAAGAGTCCATAGAAGTAGAAATAATGCAAGATCTAGAGTTAGGACTTGATGTGGATTCCTGTTGCTGAATTGCTACCACCATGTATTGGATATCTACTATGTGCCATGGACTATGTGTGCTTGGTTTCTGTTTATTCCTCACCACAAACTCATGAGGGCAATATTACTGTTTTCATTTCACAGATAAGGAAATTGAGGCTGAGAGGGGTTAAGCAGCTTGATCAAGGTCACACAGCTAAGTCCTGGGTCACACAGCTAAGTCCTGGACCACCCTCATAACACTGGTCTTAAGCTTTGGAATAAGTCCTGACTACTTCCCCACCACCTCCCCTTCTGGATGTAGTCTAGCTCCAGCTGTGACAGCAGTCATAAGCACCCCCTCCGCAATTAGGAGCTCTCTCAAGATCACCAGCATTAGCCATGGTGGAGGGACTGTCCTCCCTATATCACTGCTGAGGGATGCTCTTTGTCTGGCCTGGAGGCCTGAAAGCAACAAGTATTTTCCTCAGAGGTATCCCAGGGTAGAACTGCCCTGCGGTTGTGCTGTGTTTTTCCCAGGCTGGGTCTGGCCTTTGGCAAAGAGTCAGCTGGGCTGGGGCCTGCTAGGGTTTGGAAAGGCAGCTTCAGAGGTGCCGTGGGTAGGAGATGGTGATCCTTCCCAGGAAAAGTGTGTGTGTGTGTGCACGCACATGCATGTGCATGCCTGTGTGCGTGTAGGAGAGAGAAAGATGATCAGGCAGCAAGTGCAGGATGGATGAGCTGATTCACAGACTGACCACTGAGGTGAGGTCTGCTTCCATCCCAGCTTCAGTCTTCTTAGCTATAAAATGAGCAGTGGGACTTAGATGAGGCCTTTGCCCTTCTCCTCTACCCTGGTTTTCACAATCCGAGGTCTGGTTCCAGGGGTTACTAGAAGAGGGCAAATAAATATCCCAGGACTGTCAGTTCCTTCAGTGCACAGAGCTTCCTGGACTATGTGACCCTGGCTTGTGCCTCAATGTTAGGGAGAGAAGCAGTTTCCTCAGTGCAGAAGTTCAAGAGCACTAGCAGGACCCTTCACTGTCTTCCCCTGACTTTACAAATCCCAAGTCAGGCTTGAACACAGCACAGTGCTTTGCACGCCATAAGTGCCCTAGACATGTGTGCTGGTGTCTACCACTGCTCCATAAGTCTTTATACATGGAATGTTAGTGACTGTTGGGCCAAGCCATAATCAGTGCATTGTAGACACGAGGAGACTGAGGCAGGCTTCAGAAGCCTGCCTAGAGCTATAGGCCATGGCTGTGCATAGCTGTGTCTTCACTTCTCTCCTGAGTATGAGAGCCTTTCTGCATTGATCTCTACTTTCCCCTCCATTCCCCACCTGCCACCATGATGGGTCAGTGAGCAGACATTTTCTAAGCCCCTACTCTGTGCTTTCCATCCCCCTTAGGATAAAGTCCCCCCACCTTACTGCAGGGCCCTGTGGAGTCTGGACCCTGCCTACTCTGATCTTGTGCACAGAACTCCAGCCAGCCTGGCTTCAAGCCTTGTTTAGTGCAGGGCCTGTACATTCCCTCAGCTTGGATACTCTTCTTCCTCTCCCCTTCCTGTGCCTGGCTAGTTCTTCACAGCCTCAGAACAGCCTTCCCAGCCACTGGAGCTAAACATGGAGCTTCTTTTCATTACAATTCAGCCCTTGTTTTTTTTTTGTTTGTTTGTTTTGTTTTGTTTTTAAATATTTGTTTCCCCATTAAAACGTAAGCTCCATGAGGGCAGGCACTCTATTTAGTTCACCATTGTTCCTCAGTGCCTAGCACAGTGCCTGGTTGTTAGCAAAAAACTGATACATGGATAATAATAGCTAACATTTATTGACTGCTAAGCTGAGGCAGGCATTGTCTTAAGTTCTTTACCTGTGTTAGGTATTAGACCCGTGTAACAGCTCATGACTTAGTAGTATTACTTTCATTTTGCAGGTGGTGAAGTCAAGGCACTTCACAAGTTTTTTTTTTTTGCTTTGTTTTTTTGTTTTTTGTTTTGTTTGTTTGTTTGTTTGCTTTTTGAGACGGAGTCTCGCTCTCTTGCCCAGGCTGGAGTGCAGTGGTGTGATCTCCACTCACTGCAAGCTCCGCCTCCTGGATTCACGCCATTCTCCTGCCTCAGCCTCCCGTGTAGCGGGGACTACAGGCGCCCGCCACCGCATCTGGCTAATTTTTTTGTATTTTTAGTAGAGACGGAGTTTCACCGTGTTAGCCAGGATGATCTCGATCTCCTGACCTCATGATCCACCCGTCTCGGCCTCCCAAAGTGCTGGGATTACAGGCGTGAGCCACTGCGCCCGGCCCACTTCACAAGTTTTTATGTCACTTGCCCAGAGTCATTTATTTAGGCAGAGATAGTCAAATAGGAATGGAGTCTGTCTCCTTAGACATAACTGTGAGGCCTCTTGGCACAAGTGAATGGATGAATGAATAACATAAGGTCCCTGTCCTCAAATATCTCACAGCCCAGGGAGGGAGACAAGCACAGAAACGTAAGTAATGATCAAGAGTGATGGAGTTCCAGGGATTGCGGTATGGGGTGGTTGGTTAGATCTGTCTGGAGGGGTTGAGGAAGTTCCCATAGAGGAGGAAGCACAGGAACTAGAATTGAAGGGTGGATGTTTTCTAAGTGAAAGGAAAGTAGGCATTCTAGGTTTCTCAAGTTTCCCAATGGATGGAGATGCCTTTGGGGAAGGAATCTCAAGCCCATTCTCCTAACCCTTGTCTTCCTAATCTCCAGGTCCCCACACCAAAGTTGTGCGGCGTATCTTCACCAACAGCCGGGAGCGATGGCGGCAGCAGAATGTGAACGGGGCCTTTGCCGAGCTCCGCAAGCTGATCCCCACACATCCCCCGGACAAGAAGCTCAGCAAGAATGAGATCCTCCGCCTGGCCATGAAATATATCAACTTCTTGGCCAAGCTGCTCAATGACCAGGAGGAGGAGGGCACCCAGCGGGCCAAGCCTGGCAAGGACCCTGTGGTGGGAGCTGGTGGGGGTGGAGGTGGGGGAGGGGGCGGCGCGCCCCCAGATGACCTCCTGCAGGACGTGCTTTCCCCCAACTCCAGCTGTGGCAGCTCCCTGGACGGGGCAGCGAGCCCGGACAGCTACACAGAGGAGCCTGCGCCCAAGCACACGGCCCGCAGCCTTCATCCTGCCATGCTGCCCGCCGCTGATGGAGCCGGCCCTCGGTGATGGGTCTGGGCCAGCAGGATCAGCCAGGAGGGCGTCCTTAGGCTGCTGGGATGGTGGGCTTCAGGGCAGGTGGGATGAGAACTGGGCCGCTCTGAAGCAAGGCGGTGGACTTGAACTTTCCTGGATGTCTGAACTTTGGGAAGCCTTTACTGACCCTGGGGCTGGTTTTCTGTTTCCTGTACCAGTAGGAGATCAGAAAAATGGAGCAAAGTGGTAGGTACTTTTTGTGAAGACGGCACGGTCTTCCCTCTTCCCTCAGTCCCTAATCCTTCCCAAGTAAGAGGCTGGAGTTGTCACTGCTTTTGGCCTGGAGTTTGGGATCCCTGTCTTTCCTGAGATGTGGGGTTGTCAGCTCTCATCTGAGGCATCCAACAGTCTCTGCCTTGCCTTTAGCCCCTCCCAAGCTGGCTGGGGTGGCCTGTGTGGCCACTTCCGTCCATATTTATAGGTACCCAATAGCTGCCCATTTCGTGAGCCCCATCTTCACCCAGGCCTATGTTGATCCATCCAGCTTGCCAGATGCTGCAGAGTCACAAGCCTCGAGGTGCCTTCTTCAGGGCCTGGTTGAAGATGATCAGTGGACAGTCTGCTCTAGATGAGCTGGGCCAGAGGGTCAGGAAACCCAGTCGCCCTTACTTCTTGCCCTGGGCATCAAAGTTCTGCTTTCTCCCCACTGAGACTTGCCTTCCTAAGCCTGGGGCTGTGGAGACCGTGTCTGCAGCCCTGAGAGAGCCCTGTTGGGCTTTGTGTGAAGGCAGAGAAAGGGACAATGATATTAGAGTGATATGGAGCAAGAGATATTTTGGGCATGTGGACTTCAACTCCTCCACATCACTGTTCATGCTGGTGAGTGAATGCCAGTGTGCTGATGGGCGTATGCGGGTGCTGAGTAGATGCGCAGCCCCATCTGTGCATTCTCCTAGATGCTTAGAGGGATTTCTTTGCTGTAAGATGTCTGTTTGCTGATGTTCTGGTCTGTGTTCCGAATTGAGCACAAACTCTGTCCTATGAATGCTTTGCATTTGGAATTTTTGCTTGACTTCAGTTATTGGTGGAATCTTTAGCTCTCAATAGGACCAGGATCCAGCCTCACTTCTAGGGTATGGGAAATCCAGTTAGAGACCAGGCCCTGGCTAAGACCCACACATACGCACATTCACTTAGCAGAACCTTAAACACCCCTCAGTTGTGCAGCTGTCATCAAGGGTGTGTCTGGGAGGTTGGTTTAATGCAATAGAAGTGCTCCCCTCTGAAAGTTGTACATGAAATTTTTGTAAATCACATCCTTATTCTTCATCTTTTAAAGAAATAACCACTGCAAGTCCTTTTGTAAAGTGAAGAATCCTTTTGTAGAATGAACCACTGCCCCTTCATTGATTTCCTGTGTCAATCCAGATGGTGGGATGTGGTTTTCTTAAGGTGAGGCCTGTCTGTGACCTGCATCTAAGCCCAAGGGACAAACTGCACAGAAGTCCTCCTCTATGTCTGTCATTGTACCCTTAAGTCACCCCAGCCCTCTCCCTCTAGGCTCTGCCTTCGAGGTCAGAGGAAAGATAGGCTATGGTCCCGTCCTGTCATGCAATAACTCATTGCCGTGGCTGTCTGGAAAGCCCCTCTTATAGTTTGGGCTTCAACCCAGTGGCTTGTCCTCACCATGATGGGGCCCTAATTCAGCCATGTGCAGACAGATAATATGTCTGCTCCCCTCCCCTTCCTTTTAAGGAAGGTCCAATTCTTGAGCTTGGGGCAACATTGTTCACCTTTGTAGCACTCTGGCTCCCCATTTAATTTCAGGCTCCCCAGATCATGTTTTGGTGAGCATTAGGATTGCTCCTTTCCAATGTTTGGAAGATCCTGTGAGGAACCCCATCTGTCTAAAGATAGAGTCATTGTTGTAGGATCTAAAGCTTTGCTTCACAGTGGATTCGCTTGACTTAGGAATGAGAAGTAGCCACAGTGTGGATGGGTGGACGGGTTTCATGAGATGGATCAGATATTTTATCAAGAACTCAAACTTCTGGCTCCTTCTTCTTTCAGACTTGCCATGTGACTCTGCCTTGGCCTATCTCCTGGGGCTATGGTGTGGACTGAATGGGATCATGAAAGTAGACAGTTTTGAGAGCATAAAGAGCTTTTTTTCCCCCTCAATCTCAATCCTGCAGTGGGGTTTTGCAGCCTGAGTCCACGACCTAGGCAGTGGGCTGGTGTGCCTGACTGCCCAGCATTTGGGTAATTTCTATTGTAAACCACTTTGGCCTGAGTTATCGAGATTGTCCTCATTTCTCCAGATTATCTATTTTTTTTGTTGTTTTTTGTGAGAGACAGTGTCTTGTTCTGTCACTCAGGCTGGAGTGCAGTGGTGCCATCATTGCTCTCTGCAGCCTTGAACTCTGGGCTCAAGCAATCCTCCCACCTCAGCCTCCCGAGTAGGGAGGACCACAGGTGTGAGCCACCACACCTGGCTATTTTTTACATTTTTTTTCTTTTTTGGTAGAGATGGAGTCTTGCTATATTGCCCAGGCTGGTCTTGAAGTCCTGGTTTCAAGCAAGTCTCCTGCCTCTGCCTCTAGAAGCACTGGGATCACAGGTGTGAGCCATTGCACCCAGCCCAGATTGTCTTAATTTCTGTCTTGTTCCAAGGCCAGAGACAGTAATGAGAATGGAAAAGAGATATGGGAATACTGGCAGACTGTGTAAAATGTAATGCAACTACCCAAAACAAGCCTGGTAGGAAAGGGCAAGGCTTTAGGTCTTTGTAAGAACTAAAGAAGATCCGTAATTTTTATTTTCACCCTCTGTACCCCATGACCTTATCCTTCCTCTCCTTCCTTGTTACCCATGAAAAACTGGCAACATTCCAAGAATAGCATCTGTACAAAGGGGAAAGAACATAAAGGTAAAACAAAACAAAACACAACATTTTGAGAACAAAGATGACCGTAACCACTGAAGGGAATCACATCTTTTAAGACAAATTCATATTCTTTTATTTGTTATGGCAAATGACAAGATGGTACAACCTTTATTCTTTTCCAAAATAAAACAAAGGGCACAGCATCTATAGTCAGCCGACAACTATTTCTGCCTTTTGGGGGTGGGTCTGGCCGTACTTGTGATTTCGATGGTACGTGACCCTCTGCTGAAGACTTGCCCCCTGCCCATGTACATAGTGCATTGTTTCTGTGGGCGGGCCCAGCACTTTCCGTCAATGTTGTACTGTATGTGATGAATTGCGTTGGTCTCTGCATTTTTCTGCAGAAGAGGAGTAACCGCTCTAGGTACCTTGATCTTTGTACAGCCCAGAGGCCAACACTGTGGGTGTGTGACTCTTTAGCAAAAAAAAACCCATGTGGTGATGATGTGTGTATATATATAAGGATATATCAGGAAGATTTCTAAATAAAAGTTTTACAAAGGGGCCTTAGGACTCTGTGCTTGCCTTGCACCCCTAGGCCTCAGACTCGGGACATTGAAAGAAAAGGCATGGCAAGAAACTGTTTCTCCTGACATGGGGAGCCTCCAAGACTCAGCTGTAGTCTTAGGAAGTGGGATTCCACCCTCGACTCTGAAGGCAGGCCTGTTGGGGAGGAGACAGCCTTCCTCTATAGGGTTTCTATTCTTTCCCTCCGCAAGCCTCATAGAGGGGGCCTGTCCCCTCAGCTTCATGCACCCATGCTTGTAGCTCAGGAAGCCTCAGCAGACATCCCCTCTTTGTGTTGGGATCAGCTTCCATGGCTGGGACAGTTGTATATATCCTAGGTTCAGGACAGATTAAGGCCATACCATAGGAGGGCCCCAGGTTCCCTGATGACTCAACAGTGGCGGCTGCAGCTCTTATGCCTGGTTCTTGAGGACTGGGGACTCAGTGACGAAGTCTGAAGGCACTGGAAGTCGAGAGCGGAGGTTCTGTGGCAGGCTCCATATCATCCGGGAGGACTTCCCTGGAGGTTCAGGAATGGGAATGTGGTTTAGATGATACAACCTTTATTCTTTTCCAAAAATAAAACAAAGGGCACAGCATTTGGGGCTGGGGGAAGCCACTGCATGTGGACCATTTGATCCTCAGGGATTTCAGTAGGTCACACAGGCACTTCTAATGAAGTATCATGCCTTCCTTTCTTTCTTTCGTTTATTTAAATATTTTTTCAAGATATGGGATCTTGCTTCTTCTAGCCTTTTGCCCCAGCTGATCTTGAACTGAGCTCAGGAGTTCAAGGATCATCAAGGTGAACAAGAAACAAAAGGTGCAAAAACTGGAAGGTTTTTGTCTCAGCCCCTTGAGCAGTTGGGACTACAGCATGTGCCACTGGCACCCTGTTTCATTTAACAAATATTTATTGAGCATCTAGTGTGGGCCTGGTATTGTTCTAGGTACTGGGGATCCCACACTAAATAAAACAAAGATCCCTGTTCTTGTTCTGGTGGAGCTTAACTTCTAGCAGGGGAGACGGTAAACACACAGACACACACATCTGTAATAAATATGTTGATTCTATAGTAAGTTACAACATGATTAGTATTAAGATAAAAGTTGTGCCAGGAGGTGAATTCAAGGACCTCACGGATAACTCTGGCTCCTTTGGGGGGGTGAACCTTGTTCATCCTGCCAGGCTCTGACTTGGCTGTTCTTGTCCTCAAGGTGCTTCCAACCATAGATAGGAGGGCACAGGCAGGGCAGTGCTTGGGGACCATGCTCTGACCTACAGAGAAGCTCCTTGGTTTTTGGAAGCTCCCAGGTGTGCTTCTCCCTGGTACAGGACAAGAAGGTACCTGGGATGATAGGACGGTGAGATTTAGCCTTGGGGTGAGCTGGTTGTGGGTCTCAGCAGTGGTGGTGTTGGCCTGGTCTGTGCTCACAGGCGGGAGGAGCAGTGTGAGGAAGGGACCTATTGTTAAGGGCTTGAGGCAGAGAAATGGGAAAGAGCGATCAAAGAGGCAGGAGAAACAGAGAGTACTGTTTTAGAGACTGTGGTGTTCCAGAGGAAAAGGGCCTTTAGGGTGAAGGAAGTGGTTAGCCAAGTCCAAAGCGGCTGAGTGGTCAAGCAAGAAAGGCCTGCAAGTGTTGATTGGATTTAGCAATATGGAGGTCGCTGATGACTTGGATGACAGTGACACAAGGGGAGGAATAGAGGCAGAAGCCTCACCGTCCTGGACTAAAGAATGGGAAGAGAGGCGCACCATTTCCAGAAGGACTTTTCCCAGGAGAGGGCAAAGCATTCCACGTTGAGGTCTGGAAGGGCCCGTGAACTCTGTGGCCAGCAAGGCAAAAACGATGAGGTGATAGAATGTCCAGGCTGCCCTGACCCTGGGGGGCCACCTGGGTCTCCAGAAGAGGAGACAGGCCCAGAGAAGAAAAGAGTCTTTCCAGGGCCACATGTCCCATAGTGGTCGGCAGGGGAGGACCGGGCTTCCCACCTCCCAAGACAGCTCAGTCCCTGAGGCACTGGGGGCCCCTCTGTCCTCCAGGGGAAAGGGCAGCAACTGGGGCCTTGCCTGAAATGGCCCTGCTGACCCGGTCAGCCTCAACCCTCACCACTTTTTTATTCTCTTTGCTCCGACTGTACCACCATTTCTATTCCAGATCACATTCTTTTACTTTTTTATGACCTTCTGGTTTTTGCACCTTTTGTTTCTTTTTCCCAGGACAATCTACCCATCCTCTCTTTCCGCCCTCCTTTCATTTGGTTAACTTGTCCTCAACATCCAGGCAACTGCCCTGACTATGGGGTCAGCTGCCTCCTTGGTGCCCGCCACGGGCCTTCCTTTCCTTGTCTGCTTTCCCACTAAAACATGAGCTCCTTGAGGCAATACCACGTGCGATCTATCTCTTCGCCTCCAGTGCCCTGTGATAGACCTGGCCCAGGTGCTTTCATCATTTGCTGAATGAGAAGATTCCCCTCTCTGGAATCTCCTAGCTCCGTTCTGAGGCTGGCATGGAATGAAAGAGTGGAGATGGGTGGGAGGCAGCATCATTGCTACAGAGATGCAGCTCCAGGGCCTTCTGCGAAAGCCATGGTCCTGAGCTAGTCAGGGGCAGATGTACAGCTCCACCCCTAGCACTGCTTTTGTTGCTGTGGGCAGAGGGAGGACGGGTGTGGGCTTTCTTGGGCTGGGCCGCAGCTGCCTGGTTATCATACTGGACCTGGGTGGGGTGAAGTGGGGAGATAGGAAGATTGGGAGGCCGTTGATCTGGTCTGCTCATGGCAGCCCAGCCTCCTCATGCCTGCCCGCTACCTCCTCTATGTGCAAAACAGCTAACTGTTCCCTAGAAGCTAGTACTCCCCCTCTGGCCCCACTGCCCTAGTGAACCAGTAAAGTGCCACTGACCAGCCTGTGGGGACACAGGCCATGGTGCTGGGCACGGTGTCTAGCAACAGAGGTTCTGCCACTGTGAGTCAGAGTAAGGAAGGGAGTAAGTCTGGATCACCCAAGCCATCCTCTCCATTGTGCGGAGGAGGAAATGAGGCCTGGAGGGGAAGTGGCTCGACTAAGGTTACCTAGGATTGGAGTCAGATCTGAGTCCAGAGTCAGTGCTCACTACCTCTCAGGAAAGGAAGACAAAATAGTCGACAGGTAGTTGGTGTCCTTAGAGCGAATAGGCCTGGGCTGTGCAGGAACACAGCAGCTCAGCCTGCCCCAGCAATCTGTTAGGACTATCAGTTCAAGAAGAGAAAGGCCGGGGCGCAGAAGGCAGTGAATGGGAAGGGCAATTGGGCCAACAGAAAGAGGCTGATCTTTGGAGTCAGACCACTGGGTTGAAGTTCCAGCTGTGGGACTTTGGGTAAATCACTTTACCTCTCTGAGGTTCAGTTTCTTGGTCTGTTAAATGAAGATATTAACACCCATCTTATAGAGCTATAAGGGTGGAATTTCAAAATAATGTGTGTGAAGTGCTTATGTTTTGTAGAAAACAGCCATTATTGTTCATGGAAATGGGATTGGGATGGGGGTATGCTTGGGAATGGCAGAAGAGAGAACGAAGAGGAAGCTGTGGGAACCCTCCTCATTCACAGCAACAGGAATTCCTGCTGAGCAGTGCTGGGGAGCCAGTAAGGGACCACCCTGGCCCTGTCTGCAGGGGCTCACAGGCTGGGTGAAAGTGGGGTGAAGGGAATGGATACAGAGCCCTCCACCCTGGAGGCAAGTGCTGTGTGAGAGAGGCCTGGTGGCCACGGGAGACCCAGCTCTGGCAGTAGAGACCCGGGGTGAACATTAGCTAAATAGAAGGAGCCTGAGGAAGAGGCTTGGGGAAAGCCTCCTGGAGGGGCTGCCATTTTCTGTCTTGGGCCCCAGCATCTCTCAATGGCAGATGCTGACCGCCCCAGGGATGCTCATCCTCCTGAGACCCCTCCTCCTGTCCAGGCCACCTGGCTCAGGGCTGGGCTGCTGGAGCTCCCTGCTGCCCACTGTCCTGTTCCTCTGGCTCCTCCTTTCTCTTCCTACCTCTCCCCACTTGCTTGGTCCGAGCCCTGCCTCCCTCCCCAGCTCCCGGCCTTTTCTGTCCACACAATAACAGGATGTGATCCGTTCGAAGAGAGGAAGTGGGGAGGACGGGCAGTGCTGATAGCGCGTTTCTGACTCTCCGCTCTCCACTCCTCCCCTCCCCTTTGGACCAGCCCCTGCAGCTGCCTCCTCCCCTAGGCTCTGTCTGGGTCTCCCTCTGGGTTCAGAAGGGATGAGTTTGGGATTGTCAGGCCAAGCCTATGGAGAGATGCACACTAGCCATCCTCTCTGCAGAGCCTGCCTTCCTAGGACATTCACTGGGTTAGCTTTGGACCCTGGGTTATTCTGAGCTGCTGGAGCCTGAGGGTGGCAGGTGGGTCCCTCACCTCTAGGCAGCAGGGTGCTACCTGCCCATCTGCTTCCCGAAGTCCACATGTGTCTGATCCAAGCAGAGGGATGACAGAATCAGTGGAATGTCCTTATCAGGTACTGTCTATGCTTGGCCTTGCACAGCATGTGGGATGGGCTGCACGAGGAGGAAACAGTCTCCGAGAGGCAAAGCAGGAACTAGGAACTAAGCTGGAGCTAGAACCTAGATCTGCTGGTGTTCTATCACCTCTCTTAGGTCAGCATTGTCAAATAGAGCTTTCAGTGATGATGGCAGTGTCCTGTGTCTGTCCTGTCCAATGTTATAGCCACTAACCACATGTGGCTCTTGAGCAGTTGAAGTGCAGCTAGTGCAAGTCATTGCATTTTTATTCATTTAACACAGTGATTTATTTATTTATTTATTTATTTATTTATTATTATTTTTTCGAGATAGAATTTTGCTCTTTCCCCCAGGCTGGAGTGCAGTGGCACAACGTCAGCTCACTGCAACCTCTGCCTTCCAGTTTCAAGCAATTCTCCTGCCCCAGCCTCCCAAGTAGCTGGGATTACAGGTGCCCGCCACCACACCCAGCTAATTTTTGTATTTT